ATCGTGCAAAAAATTTACCGGGCCAAAGAAGAGACGATTTCATGAAATTGACGAGGCAGTTTTCTAGTTCTCTCAAGAAAAACGAAAGGAGGGACTAAAAAATTTTTAATACTAGCAAAGGTTGGACTGTGGGATTTATGCGCTGAATGATGTTATCTTTGAGGCGCAGAACTACAATTTCCCAAAAACTCCTATTGATTTTCATATCTGGATATGCCACCCAATTACACACTGGAAAGAAGAGGTGTGTGGGAAATTTCTTTATAAACGAGTGGTTGCGAAAAATTGCGCATACCATTGATGCTAGCAGTAACAAGTGATAGGGAAAAATTGCTGTCATTATTAATATTGAGAAAAAAACCATTCTGAAATCCGAAAGACTTCCCGAATGACGTCTTAGTTAGGGCACAACAAAAAGGATGGATAATAGAAAAGCTTATGATGGAATGGTTAAGACAAGTATGGAGTCGTAGACCAGGAACACACATGGAAAACGATCCCTGAAAACAATATTATAACATCATTTAAGAAGTTTTGTATAACCACTGCTTTGGACAGATCCGAAGATGACGTAATATGGGCAGAAAATGATACATAAAAATGTAAATATCGTTCTAAAACCCTTAACAGCGTTATTGTTATAATGCGATTTTATTTTACTATTTTCCAAATCGCAACTATACGACTGCGAATCTAATCCGCACTCGATTGTAATCCGCATTTGATTTTAGAGCATATAAAATTTGTAAAAAGGGTGCGGATTAGATTCGCGAAAATATGGTATATCAAAAACCTTAAACAGACGTTAATTGAACCTAGGAACTCACTTCTGAAAAATCGTTTCAATTGATTTACGCGTTTTCGAGTTATAAAAAATAAAAGAATTTTTTTTGCTAACTTTGAAGTCATCTAGCGGCGAAACGAAGCAACTTTGGATACAGATAATTTAACTTAAATCGACCTATTTTGTGTCAAGGAATTTGTGGTCTTCCGTTGTACACGCATTTCGGAGACACCTGTATAAACCTTGCGCCACTGCACGAGTAGTGTGTTATTTCCCCGCGAAATTATCCTTATGATAAAATTAATGAAATTAAATTATTACCATTTCCTCTTGAGTTAACCTTTGTGGTTGCGAAGTTGTTTGGATTTCTGGAGTCAATGAACGCCCTTCTATATCCTCTTCTGATTCATCAGATCCAGAATCCTACAAAAAAGATTTAAAAATTAAAAAGAAATTATTAATAATTATTATAATCGTACAAATCGACTTTTAACTTGTTGTTCTTTAACAGTATCCTTTAAAATTTCTAAAGCATTCTTTTCATATAATTTTCTTTTTGCTTCATTTTCTGCTTTTTCCTGTTTCTCCCTCTCTCGGTCTAATTGTTTTAATTTATCTCGTTCCATTTTTTCTAAACCCTCTCTTATCCAAGCGGGTAATTGCTTCCTTTTTGCGGCATCTAAATTAACAACTTTCGGAGGAGGAACAGAAGTATTTGCGACAGTGGTTGGTACATTGACTTTACTATAACGTTTATTATGCGGTTTAATAACTTTAGCACCTCCCGATGATGTCCAATATCCGCTTTGATAATTAGAAGTTGTGTTATACCCATAATTAGAGTTATCACTTGAATTATCAACATTTGAATTATACTGATTAAAATTTGAAGGTGTAGGAAGCAAAGGAGGTTTAGGAGTGTTATTAGAAGAACCGGGATTATTCCAATTCGCCTCCCAATTCCATGGTGGTTGTTGTTGTGATTGCCACTTCCACGAATCCCCAGAACCCGTTCCATCATTCCATTGTGATTGAATTTCTTCGTTTTCGTTTTCTACATCCATAGGGGCCTCACCGCCTTCTATGTCTTTTTTGATGGGTTTGACCCCTTGTTGAGGTGTGATTTGTGGTGGTTCTGGAACTGGGGGTCCTGCTTCCTTCATAATAATCCATTGTTGGGCCAAAGCGGCCCAATCGACTTGCTCCTTTGCCATATTTTGGTAAGCTGATGGGTTCAAAGCCCATTGGTTATAACTCTGCGCGTCTGTGGAGTCTCCACCCGAGTACATTACGGTCGTACATTAAAACGCGTTCAAAAAACCGTCTAAATGCTATAAAATACCGATTATTCCGGTTAACCAAAAATATCAACAGCACTTCAATTAACTGTCAAAGTTAATTTCAATTATTTTCCGAAAGATAGCGCTGTTTAAAACGTCAATAAAAAAATATATAAATATTTTTTTCATTTTAAATGTATTAATTGTTGTAATTATTTATGCTCAGAGAAGTAAACAATTAAATACAGAAAGTGTTAAGAAGATATAAAATAAAAATGAGTCAAAATATACAAAACCTACAACTAAATTCTGAAAATATAAAAGATGATAAAGAGAAATCTGAATTCAAAATTAAAGATGCTCCTGCGAAATCTATAATAATTCAATGCACAACATATCGACACTTATATACGTTTAATAAAGGATTCAAAAACAGCAAAGGAAATGTTGAAATCTTTAAAAGTTGTGTAAGGAGGGGGGGGTTTCAAAACGTCCATTTTTATATAAGCCGAGAGAGGTTACGTAGATGTACATTCACGACTTAAAGTTACATATTTATAAAAAAGTAAATACGTAGGCTAGAAGTACATATATTACTCTACAGAATGACATATTTAGTATTCTAAAATAATCATGACGCTAACAGTAATTAATTACGAAGGTTAGCCATAATAAGGGCTTCGTACAAATCGTTCTCTAGAAGAGATTAGGGACGAAGTGGCAAATATGTCATTTAATACTCATGTATCTTAGGAAGAGATTCCGTATTCGCAAAAGTGTAGTAGATGTGTTATTATTTCATGAATGTGTTTTTTTCTGAAGATATGCGATTTTGTCACAATTTTTAGTCATCACGAAAAGGTGTAAAACGGGTTGCCTAAAATCAACAATACGGTACAAAGTAAACCTTTGGCAATTACCTTGTAGATGGCTTTAGGTACCGATTAAAAATAAAAAAAAATATATAAAAAAAAATTTATTGTCAATAAAATGTTATAAAACGTATTATAAATTGATCAATAATCTTTAGTTGCTAANATTAATTACAGCTTCTTCGTCCTCTACATTAACTACATGCGGTCGAATAGGATTACCTGTTTCTCGAAGTCTTCTGAAAGAATCGCTAAAAACTGAATAATATGGCAAATGACACTTTGGAAATCTTTCTTGATATTCTGGTACTGATTGTCGAGCATTTTAATTGCAAAAACCATACACGAAAATTATATCAGCATACTCTTAGTGCTTAACGTAGATTTTGAGTTTCTTCTTGTATGTAATAATTAAACCTTACAGCAAACTGACATATTACAATGGCAACTTTGTTTTTGTTGAAGGTTTGATTTTACTGACTATTAATAAATTCGCTGCAGAAAACTTTAAAGTGTTGTAATTTCGTAAATAATTGAAATAGGACATATTATTTCCTCACTCAGAGTGTTGCTCAGAATTAACCCACGTGGTAAGTAATGCCACTTAACTCAAATTTAACACGTGGTTTTTTTGACAATGCCCAAAGTTTTCGCTAATTTAGTGCAATTTACGAACTCACCCTGAGGAAGCGTCGAAAATAGGACATATGTTCATTAACATTTTTTTTTTGATAATTGGATTAACTATCATATGTCAAAGTTTAATGGTGAGCTAATAAATCAAATTGTATTTAAAGATTAAAAATGTTTACACTAGTTGTCATAATTTTTGCTCAAGCAGTATATGTGGTTGAAATTATGCCACCACTTACAGAAACACCATGTATTTTTATACAGGTGCCCATTATTTATGGAATATAGTATACAGGTAATTCAAATTCGACCCCCACCATTGGGATTTCAGAAACCATAAGAGATACAGAAATGGTTAAATGGGGGCAAAGTTGCGTATCTTAGAGCTCATCATTTTCAACTAAGTTTTTGGATTTAGCCGTTTTAGTTTTTAAAACATTGTTTTGCATTCTACGTAAATTAAATGTTTAAATTAATTAGTGATATTAAATTTTTTTGATCTATCCGAAAATATTAATCGCTTCAGGTTTGTTTTTCTTGGGAGACACTACGCCGACGTCTCGGTTACCGAGAATACCGAGCTCCACTATGTCTCAGACAATGTTTGGGACGGAGCAATATTTGCGATGTTGCCGTATTTATACTCCGCAAGCAATCAAAACCGACTAAACGTTTTAAACCCATTTTATTTAAATTTGCTGCATTTAATGAAAAAATTGAACTCTTTAAATATGATTTACTTTACATTTCACTACCTGGTGATGCATTCCGTTTTTAAAAATTTTTTAAAACGTTATTTTAGAAACGTTACGCGACATTTTTTGAAAAAACTAAATGCATCACTAAAAACTATATAAAAAAATAGAAATTTTGATGTAACAAACATACAAAAATTTTAAATGATGGCTGAATAAAATGGTATTCGTTGTTTTTGCTAATAGGTTATCCTCAAGGACTGTAGATTCTACTGTCCTTGGGTTATCCTCTTAAAAACCACCGACATTTGTATAAGACATGTTAGGTTAAATCGTCATATTTTGGTGTCTAGTGTCTCCGGTATTCGGATTTCCCATTCTTTTTGACTCACCCTATATATGTTACCGGCAATCTGTATAATCCTGTATTCTATACAATACCTAGGCAACTTATAGAATAGCTAAAACGTTTAGGTAATATATGAAATATTATTAATTTTGTACTTTTATAAAATACCGAATGCGAAGCCGACAATGTGTGTAAAAGGCGAGAACAGGGAAGGAGAAAGATATGGTTCTAAAGTTGTTTGCCCATTACGCTTAAAAAACACTTTAGCTGCAGTTCCAATGATAATTTAACAGAGCAAGCTCAGAAAATGCTTAACACTTCTGGAAAAAAATTTCCCCATATGCCATTGGGTATTACTGTAAAAATCCCTGTTCCGGAAGTCGACAGATGTTGTGGTGATGCTCGCAATATACTAGCTGTAGTCTTACAAAAAACGAATGACGAACTTTATAAAATACTAACAAAGCAAGGTGTTTGTAAAGAATTTGTATTTAAGACAGCAGTTTACAGTTTGTCGTCAAGAACTACTGAAAAAAGAAGATTTCCTTAATCAAGAAACGACGATCCATACAACTGTGAATATGCAATCTACGGGGACATGTCAGGGATTTATTAAATGTACTTGCAAAAAACACCGTGATACTAAAAAGTGTTCATATCGCAAAAGTAAGATTTTATACACTTCAAAATGTCACAATAGTTCCTCATGTAAGAATAAATAAATATATTTTTTTATTGACTCAATTCTGCGAGGCCAGTATACGTCTTGTTTTTACTACGTCTTGTTTTTACAGAATTATTTCGTTTCCTAAGTTTTTAATACTTATTACTTCATTTTGTACAATAACTTATAGATCATAAAAAAGTTTATTATGGGTAAAAATTGATAAATACAGACCAAAATCTATTTATTTTACACATTGCCGGTCGACCAACAGGTACTGTATGTAATCCCTAAGAATTGTATACATTACCTAGGTAAAGTATCTAAGGGACAATAATCTTCATAATATTTCATACATTGCCTAGACACCCCAGGTATTTTATACATTACCTAGGCATTGTATAGAGCACCTGAATTATACAGATGATGGTAACATATATAACAGATAGAAGATTTTTAGGCAATTATGAATGAGCTGCTGACCACAGTCCTTCCACCCTAATTTTTGGTGATTATATTAACACTCGGAAAGTGAGAAATAACACAGCAAATTGTTATCAAGATATAAGACCCTAAATAATCGAAAGTAAAGTAATAATAATTAGTTAATTATTGTTATATTATATAATATGACATAGATAACAATAATACTATTTTTCTTCAAACGTTGCAAATAATACAACGCTGAAGTACTTTTTTGCTATGTTGATCTTAGCAACCGTCGTTATGCAAAAATGACTTACTTCTACCACGAGTAAACACGCCAATAAAGTTGTCATTTAATGACGTTTAAAGAAAATAGCTATTTGTGTATTAATAGCGGAAAGTGATACTTTGCCGCTTGAGGCAGAGAGTTGGGCAATCTGCCGAAAGTGGTAACGCACTTTCTGATCGAATTGCACACAAGATTTTTTCTACGATCACATTATTTTTAGACAAATAATTAAAAAAAAAAACACGAAAAATATTGTATTGTTTTTCGTATTTACCTCTGGATTTAGTTGGCAGAAGATTAAGAGTAATATTTTTAGCAAAATCTGCTATATCTGGAGGTGTGCTTGAAAATTCACTGTCACTATCCATTTTTCAAATAGCTATTTATAAACAGACAACTTTTTTATAAACTAAAAATGAAATAATGACGTTTCTTTAATTTCATAGTCTACTATTTGCACAAAAAAGTAGGTAGGTACATAAATATGCAATCACTATTGCATCTAGGTGTATATGTATTGCCTACCTTCTGACTGTTATATTTTTACTAGGTAAATTTTATAAAATAAGGTTTAATTTCGTTCGAAATATCTTCAAATATTAATATTTCAACTAAAATATTCAGACTGCCCT